CTTTTAAAAATTTGAAATATGGTCTCCTAAATTGTCCAAAATGGCTTTAAATTTTCAGTCCTCCTTTCTCAGGCTCCTGAGTACCTGGGATTATAGGCATGCAGTATCATGTCCAGAACTTTTTTTTTAAACTTTATTTTTTTACATTTATTTATTTTGTGTATGGGGATGTAGTGTGTGTGTGTGTGTGTGTGTGTGTGTGTGTGTGTGTGTGTGTGCATATGTCATGGTGCTTGCATTGAAAGAACAGGACAACTTTCAGGAATTGGTTCTGTCCTTCCAACATGTGGGTTCCAAGAATCCAACTTCTGGTCATCAGGCTTGACAGCAGGTGCCTTTACCTGCTGAGCGATCTTGCCCACCTGCCTGGCACTTCTTAAGGTAAAAATATTAATTATAACTGTAGATGCTTTATTTTGTATAGTAAGAAAAATGTAGTGGTATTCAGCTTTAGGAGATAGTTTTAGGTAATACTGGATTTTACTATGTAGCCTAGACTGGCCTCAAACTTGTGATCCTCCTACCTTAGTCTCCTGAGTGCTGGGATTACAGGCCATGCCACCACACCTGGCTTCAGGAGATGCTTTTAAAATAAACAATTCAGGGGGCTGGAGAGATGGATGGCTCAGCAATTAAGAGCACTGGATGCTTTTGCAGAGGACCTGGGTTTGATTCCCAGCACCCACAGGATGGTTAAGAACCATCTGTAACTCCAGTTCCAACAGAATTTGACACCACAGGCATTACATGACACGGGTACACTTAACATACATGCAGGCAACACATTCATACAAATAAAAATAATAAATAAAAATTTAAAAATAAAATAAACAGTTCAAAGGAGGTCAATCAAGTTATATTTTTCATTATTGTGGGTACTAGAGATTTTAAGATGAAACCATAATAGTTGTCAGAAGTGGTATGAGAAGCCTGCTCATAAGGCTGAGGTCTTCAACTAAACTTCAAATTTGCCTGTTTTTATGGTTTATGTAATGAGATTCATGTGACTCTGTTGTATTTTATAAACTATCAGTGCAAAAGCATTCCTTTGTACACTTTTATATGATAAGTCTAAAAACAGGGTTTTAGGTTTCTGTTAAAAGTCAGTCGGGGCTGGAGAGTTGGTTAAGCAATTAAGAACACTTACTGCTCTTCCAGAGGACACATGTTTGGTTCCTAGCACCCACATGATGACTCACAATCATCTGTGACTCCAATTCCAGAGAAACAAATGCTTCTATTCTCCTTGGGCACCTGCACTCATGGGCACATACACCCACACAAACATAGACATATATAACCAAAAATACTAAAAATAAATCTTAAAAAGGTCAATCATTTGGTTCTAGGGTATTTACTATTTTCATATTCTTAGATTTACTTATCCTTACAGTAAGACAAATATCAATTCCACATTAGATATAAGGAGGGCTCCATACCTCACGAAATGCAAACGTGTGGGAAAGATGGCTGTAGTCATCAAAGCACTCCTGGCATAAGTGATAGTCTACGCACTTCATGCACCTAAAATGCAACACGTCAAAACAATCCAATCACTGACATGATTGTAGGTGAAACATTTTAACTAAACTTCCTGGGAAAGAACCACACATGACAAACCCAAGTCTATCAAACTGTATTTGCTTCCCATTGCTTCTGTAGAATTCTCCATACATTAGCTTAAACAACAGAAATCTATTGTCATCAAGTTCTGTAAGATGGCCATCTGATATGAGTCTCAGTGGCTAAAAACAAGGGGTCGGCAGGTCTGTATCACTTTTTGAGGCCTTGGGGAGAATCCATTTCCTTGGCTGTTTCATCTTCTAGAGGTTACTTAAACTTCTTAGCCTGTGGCTTTGCTCCATCTTTAAGGTAATTAACAGAGCATCTCTCTGACTTCTTTAATAGCCATACTTTCTTCGGACCTTTCTGCCTTCCTCTTCTAATTTCAAGAACCCTTGTGATTATACTAGCTTTATCTGGGTCAGAGTAATCTTGTTTCCAGGCCAACTGAGAAGAAGCCTTAATTCCATCTGCAACCTCAGTTCCCCTCCATCATGTAACCTGACATTCAGGTTCTGTGCACAAGGTTGTGAATATACTTGGGAGCCCATTATTTCCCCCCCTGCCCACATGCTCCTTCCATGATGCTTTTCCAGATCACTTAGCTTTCAGTGATCTTTCTCTAAAATCCTGTGGGATCTACAGCCTATCATCTGTCATTTGATTACCCAGTATTACTTTCCAGCTGTTTCATGAATACTAGAGTTATACTTAGCAGCAGTCTTAGACCACAGAATTATATTCTTTATTCTCCCCATAGAATGGAAAAAGACAAATGTATAGTCTCAGCCCAAACTATTAATAACATTTCAAATTATACCTTTCCACAGAAGCCCAATTCCAAGCTTATTTCGTTTGTAAATAATTATCATGAAGGATTTTAGTTTACTGCAAAATTCACCAAATAAACAATATTGTGAGCAGTAGTCAAATAGACACGTTTCTATTCACTTTTCTAGTGTTTAGAAGACTATTTCTATAAGAAATATGGAAAAGTATGTCTTCAGACATTTTAGAAGCAAGTGCTAATTTATTATTACTATTTGTACACATAGTGACCATTCCGAATAATTAGCATCAAAGAATCAGTAATGCTGCAATGTATTAGATACATCAAAGCAGGCTAGAGGGAGAAAGTTCAAACAGCTCTGTACTTTAGCATACATCAGGTGGCTTTGAACTAACCTCAAAGATAAAGCAACTGCATCATGAGACAGAGATGAGGAGGGAGCTAATTCCTAAACGCAGTAGAATTAGTTTTCAGGCTGACTTAAATGTTCGGTTTTTGGAGGAAAGGGTAGAAGATAGAGTAAAAAATGTCACAGAGTCTTTGTAAATGAGGAATAAGAAACTGATTAATAATTATGAGCCAAATTCATAGTGGTTATGAGAACTTAGCTTCCAAGGAGCCTGTGGAGTACAGAGCTGGGCTGCAGAGTAGAGAAAGAATAAATTTTGTGATTGCTGGAAGGACAGTCCACCAGGACAGAAAACAGAAAAATTCAGGCAGTTTGTTTGCACAGGAGCGTACTGTCCTCAACCAAATACCTGAAAGCAAAATGTCTGCCATAATCTGCTGCAGCCACACATTAACCCTTTGGGGACAGTTGAGTATAAGGGCTGGGAATTTTCTGCTTTGTCCCTACAGCTCCTCTTCACAGCCTCCTCTTTTACATGGGGCATTTTCCCCTAACTCTTCCTTCCCACTCTACTCTTGAGAACCATTAAACTGCCCACAAAAGGCTTCTAGTACAATAGACAACTTTTCCTAGAACTGACATCCCTGGAGCTAGCTCAACACCTCGTGCTAGATGTCTATAAAATTCCATCCTTCTTACTCCAGTTAGACTGCTCCTTGGGGCACCCTCAGAAGAGCCATTTTCCTATATAGAACTCTGTTAATGGTTGATTTTCTTCCATGCAACATAGAAAACAGGACTAAAGTTGAAGGACATGGGCTGGAGAGATGGTTCAGTGGTTAAGAGTACTGGGTACCCTTGCAGAGCACTGGGGATTGGTTCCCAGCACCTACATGGTGGCTAACCACCATTTGTAACTCCAGTTCCAAAGGATCTGTCACCCTCTTCAGGCCTCTGTGGCCAATGCACACTTTAGTGCACTTATATACATACAGGCAAGACATTTATACACATACAATAAAATTAAATAAAATTTAAAGTTAAAGGACAAAGACATAATTTGTTACTAGAGGTTCTGAGCCAGGTGTGGTGGCGCACGCCTTTAATCCCAGCACTCAGGAGGCAGAGGCAGGCGGA